CTCTCCATCCTCATTACATAATTGAATGTCAATTATGTGCACTCTGATTTAAGTGCCTCTACTTATCCAGAAACAAAAAGTTTTTAAAATAACCCTGTTCCTCTATGGAACAACAATAACCCTTTTCAACAGTACCCCTCTCACTGTTCAGCAATCAGAAAACGTGATACACAGATGTGAAAAATCAAACCAATTCCCCTTGAGACTGAAGAAACAAGTCTTGAGAAGTCCTTTCCAGAGGGAATATGACAATCTAATACTGGTTTATTTCTTTACTTCTCCATACTGTTTACAGAAAACACTCAGTCTTGCAGACTTAGTTCACTCCTGCATCATCCCTAGCTCTCGTGCCCACACTTGGGAAACCCTTTGCCTGCCATGTGAAAAGGGCACTGCTCTGACTGATGCCTCTGGAAGGCCAGGCTGCAGAGGAGGGCTCTTCTCTGCCTTGGGACCCAGGGAGCAGGTCAGAGGCACACTTTGACTCACAACTTGGGAAACATTTTTCGGGTCTAACACAGTAGACTTAGCCATTCTCTTTGTCTAGGAGCCTTTTTCCCTGCCTTAGGAATAAGCCTTGCCCTTGTCCCTCCTGCATGCAGAGCTATCCATATATCTAGGTGCCTTATGGTGAATTAGGCATGCTAGCCCAAGGATAACTAGAAACTGACTTCCTAAAATGGGAAGGGAGACACACTTCACAGCAGAGGTAGTTTATTAGTCCATTTGCAAGAGATAACCAACAGTCTGCCAAGCAGAGGTTTGCAAGAAGGAAGTTGCCCTTGGATAAGAGCCATTTCACTGCTCCAGTTTCATCACACAGCTTCAATACAGAGGTAACTCAGTGAAATGTAGAGGCCTGCAATGTGTAGGAGGTTGCATAAGTTGATCTTGAGGTCCTCTTGGCCCATCACTCTCTTGAGGTGAGAGGACAGAGACACACTGCCAGACTCCAGGGTGACAGAGCAGTTTTGCTGGACAAGAATTACATTTAGAAAAAGGGTTTCAACATCTAAAGCAATTCACATCAGAAGAACAGGAGTGCATTTTGTCAGGCAGGAAAGCCATTAGACAGCCTATGGAGTAATTAAAGGGGCTTCCCAAACAGCAAATGTGCTAAACTCTAGGGAAACCCAGCCATACATATTGTATGCCTTAGTGTTATTATAACACATTTCATTGAAAGACTTTTGTCCTAGTTAATAACGCTTCACTTTCAGAGGTCTCTGGGTTTCTAATTACTGCTGTCAAAGCTCCCAGAGGAAACAAAACCTAAATCAAACCTCTTGGAGGTGCAAAGAAGACCCCAGGGACGGCAATCCCAGCCCAGATAAGGGTGAGAGCATCACGGTCCTTCTCCAGGGTCCCGGGGCCATGGGGAGTGGCATCTGACTATGGGGAGAAGTCCCTGGTCATGGACAGGCTGCAGGAGGCAGAAGCAGAAGGGTCATGCTTTCAAGCAGTAGCTGTGGCAGTGCTGACAGGTTCAGCTTTTCCCTCTTCATTTTGTCTGCATGGTCCATCCATTTGGTGTGACCACATCTGCATCTCTACTGCCTTTCATGTTCATTCAGACTTCTCATGGTTTTACTTTCTGGCCTTGTGTACCTCTAGTCCCACCTGCCTTGGCTCCTGCTGCACAGAGCTGCCTTCTCAGAGCTGATCCATACATCTGTGATAACACAACAACATCTTAATTAATTCTATAGGGGGAGGAAGACAACTGACCTTTGTGCGGCCTTCTGTGGGGTTTTTTTGGTACAGTACTTGGATCAGCTATATTGAAGGCAGAATATCCTGTTGGAAGCAAAAAAAAAAATGGCTTTCTATCATTTCTAACTTCCTGGGGCCACCTGGGACTGTCAGGAGCTGTTGGTTACACCTTGAGGCTGCCCTAAAGTCTGGGATATACAAGAACAAACAGGCTTTTTTTCTAGTACGATGATGCTCTGAAGACACCAAATCATAGCATCTTTAGGTTACAGGCTACAAGAACTCACAGCTGCTTTATTAATTCCATCAAGCAATGGCACAGACTGCCAAGGATAGAAAGTCTCCATCCTTAGAGGTTTTCAAGACCAAACTGGAAAAAGCCCTGAGGCAGCTGGTCTCAACTCATGGTTCACCCTCCCATGGGTAGGAGATTGGACCAGAGACTTCCTGAGCTCCCTTTCAAGGAAAATTATCCCACAGTCCTATGAATTATGATGTTCATTGTGGTGAGTTGTGTTTTGACAGGCTGTGCATGTGTAGCTGTAGTGAGGTCAGAAAACTCTGGAAGGCAAAACAGCTAGGAAGAGTAATCTTTTCACTATTGTTCACTTTGTCAGCACAAAGTTACAGAAAAACTCAAAAGTCTGAGTGTAAAGGAACTTATTCCCACATGGCATTGTACAAGAGTGAAAATAAAATTAATGTAAAGCAACAACAAAGTGCTTGACCAAAGGAAATTCTTAATTACTCAAATTTATTGGTAGAAACAGTAGAGATTCAGCTCTTTTGCAATAGAGTTCTCCTTGCTGAACTGGAGAGATGAGCACCTCTTGGGGTTATTGCCTCAGTCAAGAATTGAAAGTGTCCATGACCAACTGACCATTTAGGGTATCCATTAATAGAGGTCACAGCTAATAAAAACAGACAAAAATTAGAATACTTCCTTCAGGAGCAACACCATTTGGGCATATTTATTGTTGGTTTTCAGTGATTCTTTATGTCTGGCATATTTTTGCAAAATATTTTAATCTTTTAAAAGTAAAGGCTGTTCTCCAGATACTAACACGTTCTCCTTGTCAAGTGCAAAGTGCCTTTTCATGTTATCTTTTTCCATGTATCATTCTGTTTTGCAGGCCTCACTGGCAAGACAACTGTAATTCTGCAAGGGAGTCAGAGGAGGGATTGATGTTGAACCAAGTCCAAAGGCTAGTGTTCTGAAGGACTTAAAAATGAAGGTGAAAAGCATTGCTTTGGGGGGCAATAGAGTCACACCTACTACTCACACTTTGCAAATAGTTCAGCCTTTTGGGCAATTTAAGGAAGTTACCATCAGGTTCAAGGCTTTCTTCAACTCTTATTATTTTAGTTCTGAATTACTGAAATAGCCACAGCAGACATGATTAACAGAACGACTCATGCTTAGGAAGGTATCACCTAATGAGCTCATTATGTCAGCATCATTAGGAGTGTTCAAGGTAAAGATGGATACATGGGAAGTGGGATTATTTCAGTGGTTAATCCTGCTTGGTTCCAGAGGTTAGATTTGATGATCAAAGAAGTCGTGTCCCACAGTACCCTCTACAGGAAGTTTTACAGTCTGAGAATATGCTAATGGCTAATAAAGATTTCTCTGAATGAACACTGAATTTCAAAAAGAGATATGGAAATCAGAGTCTGTGGGTGAAAGCACTGGACCAAATTCAGCTCTTTTTGCTGACTGGGATGCTAGCTCCTTTTGACTTGCTCCTTTTAACTTCTTCTCAGATCCCGTTCAACTAGCTCCCAGGATAAACAACAGATGCAGGACTTAGGAGAAATTTTACCTGGTTCCATCCTTTTGTTGCAGGTGCATAAACTGCTCTGCCAAACACAGGCTTTCTTCTTATCCCTATGCACGTTTATATGTAACTGCAGAGCAGGCGCCCTGCCCTGCTCTGCACTTAGGGCAAAGAGCAGAGGAATAGGATGAAGAATGTGCTTGCCCTGATATACAAGCAACCAGATTTGCTCCATACTACACTGGGATTAATGAACATGCCTATCATATTCTGGTGAGTATTTAAAGATTTAACTGCCATGCCAACTGAAGCAAGAGCTGTCCTCAGCAATAAGGATATCTAATACTTAGCAGACAGATGTAATGCCTATGTTGAAGTAAAAGCTAGTAAATCCCATCATAATGTGCTCCTGTACATACTATGAAATCCTTCAAAAGGAAGCAAGGCCTGGGTAACAGAGTTTAAATCCAGTTGCGATGACTGGGACTGCCTCTTAGCTTTTTCAGACTCAGTATCTCAGCACAGGAGTACTGGAGACCAAGTACCAGAAGAGTGCTATAGATGCAAAACATTTCACAGCTTGACTTAAAGGCTGATTTGTACCCATTAAAATGTATTGCCTGACATCTAATCCTTTAAACTACTGCCTACTGTCATAAGAAAAGCCTGCCAGATACTGCTGGTCCTTCTGCTTGCTGAGTCCTCCCTTTCCTTGGAGAAGCACAGACAGCATCTACAGATTCAGATTCAACTCTCTTCACCTCAACCTATCCAAAAGATTTATCAGAAAGAAAAATGGCCAGTAAAGCCCAAAGTTACTGCAGGGTGAGTGTCCTTTCAAAGTCTACGAAATGGCAAAACATGATTCAAATTTTATATCAAAGACTTTTAGTGAAGAATGGAAATCTCTTATGCAAAACCAGGACCCATCCCCATGCTTGAGACCCTCTGAAATTGTTCAGGAGCTTTTGAAATTACAAGGAAGAGCAGAGGGGTTGATGCAAGAAGCAGGCTCAGTACTGTGGTCTAGGAAAAAACAAACCACAAGCTGTTTACTGCTTTGCAGGTAAAAAGAGAGTTGATGCTTCCATTCTCCAAAATACTGAAAGTGGTCAATGTCACAGCTGTGCATAGGATACTTACTTTCTCCAGATGAGGAAATTCTGGGTCTCAAAAAGCTGAACATCCAAGCCACGCTTCATGTCAACACAGTAACTTGTGCATTCACAGTGAGTTCATGTCAAACAATGTACAAAAGCTGAACTGAAAGTAATTCAAGGAATACTATCATAATTGATTATGGTATTTCCACCTGCTGGACCACCTGCTGAACTAGCAGTCCCTATGGGTGATGTTCATCCCTGTATGAGGAGATGAGCACAAGAGATTATATACTCCAGTCATTTTACTTAAACTAAAAATATTGTGCAAGTAAAACACAAGCTATGTGCCACTCCTTCCCAACGGCCTGGATTTCAGACAGAACGAGACAATGTCTTCTTCTTTCACAAACTACTTCAAGGCTGCAGGATTCAGAGGAAGTGTTTACACCAAGTAGCTGGACATGAGCTCTGGAGATGCGTTCAATGGTAATGCAGCAGCAATCTGTGTATAGAACAAGGTAGAAATATTGGCAGGCCCCTTACCAGCTGCAAGGTTATGTTGCACTTCAGTGTAAGCAGCTGCAGCAGCTTTCTGAAAAGTCTGGAGGGTTTAAAACCTACATTACAGCAACAAAACATACCCAGATAATGCCAGCGTGACAATTTCACAGGCTTTCATCGTGAAACCCGGAGACCCCCTGAGCATACTGGGGAAGCCCAACCATATTTTTTTTCCCAAGCCTTACCATGTGCTTGACGGTCATCACCACTGGCGTTTCTGACACAGGGAAGTCTTCAGAAGTCTCTCATGGTGTTTTGGAATGCTTCCACAGTAGATTAAAAGGATTCTCCAGCACAGGGAATTGTCTGTGTAAAGAAAAAATAATGATGAGACATGACAGCTAAATGAGCAGTGCTTATGAGTTGGAAAATACAGGATTATGACTATCATTACTGCTCTGATTTTTTCCTACTCCCCAAACACTGTCCAGCTATGTGTGTTTTGCCTGCTTCTACTACCTCTGTGCTGCCTTCTTTCCCTTGTTCCACCATTTCATGTGCTCTTTGTAGCACACAACATGGTATCAACAACCTGCAGTTTGCTCCAGCAAAGGAAGAAAACCTAAGCTTTGACTTTCTTTCCTTGCTTGTGACTTTGCCAGTATTAGACAAGTGCACTGGTTAATAAGCATGATTGTCATTCATGGCAGGAGCAGAAGTGATGCAAGATAAATCAATATGAACATGGGTTAAACCAGCTTCATAGTAATTTACATAAGTTTAAATCAATTTAATTAAACTGACTCACTTTTCTGATAGAGACAAGGCTTTACAGTATGCCAACTTCAATCCATTGACTGGATTAAAGTAACAAAAAAGGGGTGGCTGGTGACTTTCAAGTTCAAGATGATGAGTGGTTGATAATGTCATGGAGAAGGAGACATATGAAAATGGCTGGATGTGCTCTTGGAAGAAGAAAATGAATCAGAGTGAAGATATCTCCCTTATGGTTCAGTGGGGTGTAGTAATCATCATTACTCTGAATTGTTAACTTTGTGCATTATCGATACCTCTGTAACCCTTGCCTCTGACAGACGGTCACCTCTAAGGAAAGCAAAAAGCCCTTTCCTATGATCAGAGACAGCATAACTCATAGTTGCATATTCTTAGCTGTCCACTTTCACAAGGTAAAATTTGTTGGTTTAAATCACTTTCCGCTTTAAACCACTTGGTTTCTTTCACTGTTGCATACCACCCTGGGGAAGGTGGAATAATACAGTGTATGAGTTTTATGTGAAAACATGTATCAGTTTAGGCACCTGGGCAGTTAGCTGAGCTCAGACAATTAGTGTGAACTTCCTAAGTTGTAGTTAGAGTCTTCTAAACCCTCTAGGCCGGCCTAGACTTTGCTGCCTATCTGCAATACTTCCAAGTAGACTGTCATTTACAAGTTTCTGTGTCATGGGATGTATTGGGACACACCAAAATGTCCACCAGAGATACCCGTCTGAAGCACTCATAGAAGAAAAGTGTAGCCTATGAAGCCCTGCCCTTTCCATGGAGAATGTTTTGCTTATGGCTGGGACCAGTGTAATTTTTACCAAACCCAGTTCTGTAGAGCTCATCGGTTACAATCAAAGAATGACTTTATGGGAAAACTCTTCATTATCCTTTCTTTCCATTCCACAGGTGACCTCCAAGGAAACATCATTTTCAAGCCCTTCCATTCCAATGAAGATGATTTGTTGACATGTCATTATTGCTGGCATATGCCTGCACTGAGACCACCCTGGGGCTCACATCAGACACTGAAGCTGTGTTACTAACAGAATTTTCTTCTGTAGAAAGTTCTCATACAGCTACTTCTTTTAATCTCTAAAATTCAGGGGTCTCATTTTATTTGGTCCACTTATTCCTGTCTGATTTCTGACTCTGCTTTTTTCTCCAGAGTCTTCCTTATGTCTAAGCAGCGCATCATGGCAAATAGCTCCTGTCTTGTCTAGCTAATTGCTACACTGACAGTATGAGCAACAGCAAAAGAAACAAGATGGGAGTTTGAGCAACAATAATGCAAAATATCTGGTAAAACAGGCATAAAAAGCAGAAGAGAGGTCTAGGAGATCATTGGTATTGCAATTGTATCACGATCCTCTGACTGTGTTTAATAATTCCTTCTCTTTATCACAGAACTGATGTCACAGAGCTTCCTCAAGATTGCCCATTATATTGTTCACTACAAATAAGTACATTTTGGTAGTGTTAGACTCCTAATTATTGGCCACTACTATTGCAATAGTAGTGTGACACTTTTCTCCATCGTCTCCTATCAGGCATTTTTGTTGTGTCCTGTTTGCTTCTTTTATCCTTTTTTCAATGTGCAGTTTAGGATCAGATGGTTTTGTCTGCCATAGCAAAGGTCACAAACAGCTGCTGCCAGCTTGAGTTTTATGTGGTATGCATTTAAAGTTTTACCAAGATTTTGCCTAGAATGATAAAAAGGGAAAGGTTCTCACTGTTTTCCTTTACCATGAAATAGTCTTCAAACATATTAAGAGCTCTCTTACAGTAATTTGCTGTTTAACTGTAGTAGTCTCTCAAAAAGTCAGGGGTTTAGAGCTGACAGAAGACTAACAGCAAGCTACATGAGTGGGCATCACCCCTTACAGCAAAGAGGTTACAGAGCATAAGAAATGATGAGTTTGGATTTGGAGAGCACTGTCTCCTGCACCAGTCAATAGGTACGGCACTGGCTCAACTATTAGGGCTCTTGACAACAGCTAAGAAAATACAGGTGGAGCACAGTTCAGTCCAGCTGGGCTCCAAAAGTTTGAACTGGTAAATTCAAGCCCAAATCTGGGTATGCTGCAGGGGTAAACTCAATTTAATTGAAAACTTTGTTTCAAAGGAGGGAGGGGCTGTTAAAAGTTGGACCCTGAAGTTGTAGCTTTGTTAGACAAGGTCTTTGGTAGCAGTAACAGCCCAAGGTGTTGATGGCCTCCCCTCCTTTTCCCCACTGCCCTGTCTTTTCCTACCACTCCACTCAAACAAACTGCCACCTGAAGTGTATGGGGATGGCTGTTCCCACAACACTGTGAACATGATGAAGGAATCAACAGAGCTTCTGGAGGGATGGGTTTTGTGGGTCATTTTTTAAGCCGTCCAGTTTCATACTGAGTTTGCATGAAAGTCTGGTGCCTGAGGGGAGTTGGGCAAGCAGTGGCGAGTGGGGCAGCAGCCCCTCAACTCTGCTGGTAGTGCTGCTGTTGGAGACCTCATGTCATGAAACCACAGCTGGGGAAAGGACTGCCAAAGATCTGGTGCCATCAGACTACAAAGGCACACAGAAAACCTGCTGTGATCCCCCATCACTTGTGGTTTTCAGATTTCCACTCATTCAGTTTACACAGAGTGGCACTAAATTAAATACTTGACTATTAAGGTCAATAAGTGAACTCATTTGCAGAACCGTAGCTGCCACTGGTGTCACATTCAGGGTTGGAAGCCAAATTTCTGGAGGTACTTTCCTAATGCATGGACCCAGATTTGTTTTCTTGCGGAACAAACTCCAGTAGAAAGAGGCTTTGTGTCGGCTTCAGGAAAAACCTGACTGCTGCTTGATGTTCGAGTAGGGAGATTATCTCTGCTTCCTCACCTGCAAAAAGATAATTACACTGCCCAACTTTCTAAGGAGCCTTTGCGTCTCCAGATAAAATATACTGCAGAAAAGCACTACATGAATTATTCAGGCTAAAGTAAATTAATGAAGACTGTGGAAATTCAGTTGTTTTTTTTTTCTTCTTCTCTGTGCTGGGTTCAGATCCTGCAGTGGCCTTTGTGGTCTCAAACTACGCTGAAAGCAGAGCGCTGCTAGCTCACTGCTCAGCTGAAAACATTTTCTTCTTTGTCTGAAAATATATTAATTTAATTACTGACGAGCCCATTTGTGAGCGGGCTGTTGAAGCGCGACCAGCTCACCACAGTGTTTTTTCTAACCGTAGGCTGCCACAGGGAGTGAAGAATGAAAAGTCAATGCAATATCTGTGAGACAGCAAGATGGATTTAGGAGGAACTACAGGCTGGTTTATAAGGGAAAAAAATGATCACTTAGTCAACAATGTAGGATTATAAGGACAGTCTTTGCAGGATCCAGGAAGGGCCTAGGCAGAACACATACAAGGTCAGTCCAGGATACCTTTAAATCCTTTCCTTTGGTGCTTTTGGGTTAGCTGTGCTTATCTCTCTGCTCTAGGCCTCTCTAAGCAGCCCCTCTCTCTTCTTCTATCTCCAAGATGCTAGGAGATGCCTCCTTCATGAAATTCTGCTATTCTTACCCCAGAATTTGGGAAGTGGGGTTGCCAGCACTAGAACACATAAAGGTCTCCTTCTGGTAGCCAGAAACAGCAGCCTAAATGACATTAAAATATGATCTATTTTGCCAAAAACTGGACAGTTCTTACGAAAATGTAAGAGGTGCTTTACACATTGTTACTCAACTTTCTTTGCTGGGGCTTAGGCAGACCTGGCATTTTTGTCCAGTATGGAGACCTGAAAGCTATCACACTTGCAGTCTGGTTTCCCTGATTAATTTATTTGATTTTTTAAATATACCTTTATCCTGTCAGCTTTTCCTGTCTCATGTAATCCCCTGCCCTTTTCTGGAATCTCAGAGGTGTTAGGGGCTCCTTTGAAAGCAGGCTTGGCTACTGGAGGAGTCTCCCAGCCTGGCTGGGTAGAGCCAGACATTGATACCCTCACTCCTTTGAAGCTGCGTACCTGAGCCTAGCTTAACCAGGTCATTATTTTACTTTTTCTTGCTCAGATATATAACAAGCCCTTTATCTCTTGCTTTCAATTAGCTCTATGAATTCAGGCGAGCAGCAAGAGGAAGTGTGGGGAGGGGGCAGGAGTAGCTGTATAGCATTAATCAAAGGGTTGTGCAGGCATTTTCCCAGTTTGCCCCACTTTGTTATCATAGGCTTCCACGTGATCATGAAAACAAGGGATTCTTGCCTACAGCCTGTAATAAAGGACCTGCCACCACTGGGTTTCTGTTTATTTTAATCAACAAAGGGCTTAATTTCTGGCTGGCACACAGTGGGGTGGAAAGGCAGGCTTGGCCATGCCACCCCCTTCCTGCTGCTCCGGGAAAGCTGCACTGAGCCATGGTGCCAGATGGCCCCCACTGATCCCCAAACCATGCTCAGGGCTCTGGATGTAGCTGAGGCATGGCCTCTGTCCCAGGGAAGGGCAGGGGATTCATAATTCATTGGGAAGTACCTACCTACCCGCTGTCCAAGCCAGCAGGTTTGTTTTTCTAAAGGCAGACCTCAGACCCAGACACACACTGCGCTGCTGGAAAGGGCTGAGGAAGGGAGGGAAGAAGGGAGAGAGAGGGAAGAGGGGGCAGCAACTGCTCAAGGTGAGGTTTTGGCAGCCACCAAGAGCATCCACAGCTTCTGTGCATCCACGGGCACAAAGATGGAGCTGAGTGCAGCCTACCCAAAATCTGAAGGGGAGGGATTTTTTTGAAGCTAAATATGAACAAGATGGTGAGCATGTATGCATGTTCTTGGTTAGCTATCTGGTGAGCTAAGGGTAGGGTTTAGACTTCTTGTTTCCCATGCAATGAGCACAATGGAGTGAGTTGCCCACTCTCATTACCTGATCACCTCCAAAAATAGGTTCCTGTATTTTTCATCCACCAGAAAACTTTGAGGGAGAGAAAAGACCTGCTTTCTTTTTCCTGCTAGTGTGCCTGAAGCCATGCAGCACTATGAACAACTACTGAGCAGCTTTCATACATCCCCCTGCTACGCAAGCAGTCAGCTACATAGATGTCAGGGGCCATCAGTGTCTGCCCCAGTGTAGTGCTGGTTGTATGTTTGGATCCCTCAGTTGTATGTCACACCCTTGTCTCTGGTTCTGGCCTCCATCCTCCTCTCCTTTAGCTCCTCTTGGAAACCTCTGGCCCTTCTTCACTTTCCATCTCAGATGTTGTTGATAGACCTTGTTATAGCCATCATCTCTGCCAATTGATGCCTATAGCCATCATCTCTGCCTACTTCAGGCCAGAACCTGTGGGATGACACCCACTGGTGGGGGCATGGCCTGCACAAGGATCACCCTCAGGTTCCAGCTCATCCCCTTTTGGCAGCAGCTGTCTCACCAAGCAGCAATGAAAACCAGCTTTGACAATACAAGTGTGATAAAATGATGGCAACTAGCCACCTTCATCTTGTAGCATTTCCATGTGCAAACAGTAAACATGTCTATAGTGTGGGTCATGTGCATTATGGTAGTTTTGCACAACACCAAGAGGGAAAGGATAGAGTTCAGACTCCAAGGTGTGCCTGTTACAGAGCCATCTAAAAGTCTTCTAAACACCCCTTTAAACTATCTGTCTTGTGATAATGTGTAGTTCTAACAACGAATAAAAGGCTAATAAATCCAGTCCTCTTAAGCCTTTCCTTATTTGTCACCCCTAACTGTCACAGCAGATCCTCTCCATTTTGTCAGTCTCCCTCTCGTACTGGGGGACAAAACTGGTGCTCCAGCTATGGTCTTGCAAAGGCCCAGCCATGGGGAGAAACTGCTCCTCTTGGCCTGTAGTTGCCCTTTGGCTAGCACAGCCCAGCTGCTAAATGAGCCCAGGTCAGCCAAGCTCACTGACATGCTCATGTTTTCTCTGCCCATTCACTCCTTCTCCTCTGAACCCCCTCCAGTTTATCCATCTTTCTTGAGGATGCTTAAAAATAACAGTGATGCCCACCTGTGGAGCAGGTATGTCATGTGGCATGATACAGCTCCTGCACAAGGCATCAGTCGGTGGATACTGAAGGGACAGGGACAGGTCTGTGAAGGTTTGAGTTACCTGCGCATGAAGTAAACTGTATCTCTGTGAGAGCTGATCACAAAATGGACACAAAGCTCAGAAGCAGCTTGGGGAATACAAGCAAGATAGTGGTAATGATGACTGATCTTGTGACAAGTCACCTTGTTAATTCTCATTTTTCCCCAAATATAGAATTGCTGACATTTCTATCTTTTCTGTAAGAAAAAGTTGCATAACTTCTGAACAGAAGAGCTAAAGGCAGACCTCCATACCCTGCTTAAATTTTGTTATCTGTCAAAATAACGTTTGGTAGAAACAAGACTGTGACAGAACAGAGATTTTTATAAATATTGCCTAAACTGCACCCCTAACTTTCACTTCTTTCCTTCATTCTCCATTCTATTTCTTACTTACGCTCTTCCTTTCATCATTTTAACTTCCTTCTGACTCTTTATTTTGCAAAATCACTGGTCCTTCTCCTAGTTAATTTAAGCTTCTGAAATAGCTATGGAAAAGCTGTTTTTTCTCAACGAAAAAATAAATTGCTGACGTCAGAAAATAAGTCACTTCTAAGAATATCACTACTAGTATTTCGTATTCAGCAATAAAAGACTGACAAGAGGCAAAAAGAAGTTAATTTTTTAAAAGTTACTAATAAAAGTATGGTTTAAAAAATGTTATTAAAATAAAATTCATATTTAAATATATGTAGAAGAACTGCAAGGTGTCTATTAAATGTAAGTGGGAAACAGACATCTGGAGTATCAGATTCTTAGTCTAGTTTTCCTTCTCCTTATACAAATTAATCTTTTTCTTCAAAAAGATTTTATCGCGCACAAAGCAGATATTCAATTTGCCTTTGATTGCCCACAGTACTCCCCAATGATACTGAGTCAGGAAATACTCAGAGGAACAAATTCAAATTATGAGGTGAAATGTGGGAAAAGCAAGAGAGAGCAATGATGAGTGAAATATTAGATCTTCAGCTTTATGTTTGCAAAATCTTGTCTCTTCCAAGTTTTATTCAGAGAGTGCAATTCACATGACCTAACCATACCCCTGTAGGGCTGCCTGAGCTGTTGCAGTGTCACACCAGTCTCCAGCTGCTGGTCCAAGCTATGTAGCAAGTTTTGTGCCATGGCTTTCATCCTTGTGCAGATGTTTTGTGTACATGAAACAGCATGAGTTCCCTCTGTTCTAGCACTTGAATTGCTTTTTTAGTCTTGATATTGCAAAAATGCCAGTGGCAGCCACACAAAACTCCCCATGTCAAAGGACTGGTAAAGACCAAGAAGCTTGCAGGCTTGTGTCTCTCACCTTACTGTCCATATCAGCAGATTATTTTAATAGTGCCATGAAGTGCAAAAGGAGATGGATGCATTATGGAGAAGATGAGCATAGTGAAAGGCAGTCCCAGAGACTGCACACAGCCATGAACAGATCCTAGCCTTAGCCTTGTGCTTCTCTGAAGAAGAGGAAGGTCACACCGTTCCTTCAGTAGCATGAACCATGCCAGCCTGTTAGGCATTACACAAAACACCAGAGAAGCAGGTCAACACGACGCCAAAATGTAATCCTGATGTCTTGTTTATCTGCTAGAAGGTGAGAAAAGATGCTGCTGCTGGATGGAAATGAAAATGTGTTTCAGTACAATAGTGCTTTCTGAAGGGTTTATTGTATTCACCCATCATTATTGGTTAGCTACGTGTCCTGGCATATATTGTATGTGCTTCAGAAAGCTCAGATTCTTGACATTTCCTGTATTTCTAATACTTAAAACTATCTGATCCCCCATGGGACAGCTGGATTTGCAGTGCTATTGAGCAGTCACAAGCATTCCTCTTGGCATCTCGTGTAATACTGAAGGGATGAGCTACCACTATTAAATGAAAGAAAATGTTAGCACATATTAAGAAACCAAGGGAAGATGAGGCTTTCTTGCAGGACACTCATCTGCTTGATTTTGAAATCCCACAACTTCAAAGAGACTGAGTATTAATGACAAACTGGAAATATCCTTTGCTACAAAAGGGAGGAACTTACCTGTATTTCATAAGCCATTAGAATCCAAATTGTGAATGCCATCAGAAGCAAAGGATGCACAGTCTGTTAATTGCAGATTAAGTTTACTGACACAACACTCTTACCTGGGAATACTTACACCACCAACAGAGATTAATGCCATCTTTAACAATCTAACTTACTGGGTGCCAGTTTTCGCTATAATCCACCCAGCGGCTCTGTGTCCACAGGTATGCCCTCTTCACGTGTAGGCTTGCTGGATGAGTAACTTGGGAGTGGAAACAAAGGAGATAGTGAGTTTTCAAGGGATTTTTTCAAGAATGAATTTATCCATGATGTTAAACCCCACAGTAATCTGTCCTGTCCCCAGTGTGCCTTTGCTCAGTTGAAGTGCAGGTGATAGATGGAGCCTAATTAAAGCAGTAGATTAATCTTCCCCTAACAAGTTCCCCACCTTTGATTTAGGCTGTTTTCTTCTAGGTGCCTTTTTTGGTAGAGAGGACTAGAACATCCATTATCAGAAAAACAACGCAACCCACTCCCTTTACAGGAACCACATGAGAAAATAGCAATTAAAATTTATTTGTCCCTATGCCATTCTTAATCCCCACTACAAGAAATAAATCTCAGTAAGGAAGCAGTTCCTGCTCCCATCCCACTGCTGGCCCACCTGCAACATCTGACCTGGGGCAGGACAAGGGATGGGGAAGGTATCCTGGAAAGAAGCACAAGATGCTTCAAGAGGCATTGCCACTGTAAGAAGTACATAAATAGAAGCAGGTGTCTTTGAGGGATGAGACCCATGGGCAGGGATGCATCTTACTCCTTGTCTACCTCAGGGAGGCCTAATGGAGCATGGCCACAGGTGAAAATAAAAAATTATGTTATGGGGACTGTTTTTGCCCTGTTTACATTCCAGCAAACTTCCTTTTAATTTCTTCTAACTTTGCTTTCAGGTCATTAAAGCTCTCTTGGCAGCAGTTTGTGGGGCAGACGGAGGGCTCCTAGCACTTGAAGTCCAACAGTGCATCCTGCGTAGGGGAAGGCTCAGCAGTGAAAACAGCTTGCCTTTCACATTGCAGCACAGGAACAGAGGCAGCAGAAATTCATTTTACGCTGAAGAAGGAATTCTGGGTACCAGCAACTTCAGCTTTATTTTGGCCAAAATTGTTTCTGTAGTTTTGTTGACTCACTTCTATACCTTAGGATTCACAGTAATAGTAGTGCCTAGCAATGCGAGTGATGCAAATTTTACAGTGCCATAAGTTACCTCCCAGAATAGAAAGCTAGTATTTCTTCTGTTCAAAACGCTATGTGACCTCTTTTAATAGTTTTGTCTCCATTGCCTTTGTCTTCTCTGAGTGCCTACAACATAGGGTGGTAAACAAAGGCATCATTTTCCTTATAAGAAGGCATTGTGCAGACAATACATTGCATTTATCTTCAGGCTTCACTGGGGTGCTTTGGGGGATGTCCAGCCTCCTCCATACTGTGCTTTCTTTCTTTTCTTTTCATGTGATTTTGGAATAATCACTGTCCCTGGGGTGTCTGTTACTCCTCTTTCACTCTTTCTTCCTCATTTCAGAATGTGCAACCCTCTTTTTAATTCTTGCCCTCTTTTTGTTTGCATTTGCCTGTTGAGAAGGTAGGAAAAAAAACAAACAATGGATTTGTGAAGCATGAAGACCTTTTAAGAGGTGCATATGACATAAGCAAAATAATTGCTTTCTCAAGTCAAATTGGCTCAATTCTGGGTGATTACTCTTTTGAAGGTCCATTTCAATGCAACACTGATCAGACCATCCATTTCCCATAGCTAGTATTTTTGGCCTGTGTATTATTTTAGGCATACCATTGCCATGGGACTTGAATTCATTTGGCATTCATTAATAATCAGTGTAATTCCCTTTCATTAGAAATCTCTTACTGGAATAGCTGCTTGTTGTGACAATTCCTATGAAGTGACCATCTTTGTAGCTATACTGCCAGTGAGGATGAATTAATTAATTAATAATAAAATGCCTTGATATATTCCATGCATAGTTAATAGAAGATTAGAAGGATGAAAAGTACAATTGTGCAATTGGAAATAGGATCATTTTCTTGGTTATCAGAATTCCCCTTTTTTGGTGTGGTACACTAGAGGGATTTTGTGTTACATATATATGCATCTTTCTCTGCTCCACGTATTTTTCTGCCATGTGTAATGGAACTCACAATGAAAAAGATTGACATACCCAGTGAGGACAGAGCCCTTCCCAATATTAACACAATGGCTGGCAGTTCATCAATGTCTAAAGAGAAGATTTTGTAATCAAGGACATTGAAAGCCTGTGAAAGAGGGGGTTAAGAAAAAAAGAGCACTTTGTTCTTGGAGCATCGACTGCAGTCTTCTCTGTTTTTCTCTAAACTTTCACTGAGCAAATGTATCTATATCTTGGCCTTCTTCACAAGTTAAAGTTTTTGTAGAAATACTTGCACACAGGCTAACAAAGCTGTGCACAAGTGTTGATGCTGCTTTCAAGGCATGTCAGTATGTCACATTTCCCTGAACAATGAAGGGCTGTCGAGGGGGAAGAGATTTTAAGTAGTTTTGAGAGAACATGGAACATTTCCCTTGTTTTGTACTTCTGCCATGTGTGTAACAACTCCAACATGTGATGGAAAACACAGTAGCTCTGGTTATATTTGCTGAGAATGAGATTTAAGAAAGAGCCTTTTCTATAGGTGCACTTCCACCAATAACTTTTGAATTCTTTTCTGGAAGACTGGAGGAAAAGGGTAGTCAGCCAAAGCTGGGTCTAGAAGCAGATTCTCTTATTTGAAGGAGGGTGAGGACAGGAACAAGGGCATGTTCCATGAGCAATTAATTGACTGTTTTTCTGTACAGCTGGATTCTACTTCAAAGATGGCAAGCATCTTGGGGCAAAAGTATCTTTCAAATGTGTGCAGTCACCAGTAGCATTTCTGTTACAACAGATCAGGCTGTTTTCTCAAGAAACTCATGACTGCCTCTAATAGTGTTTGATGTCTCCACCTTCAAATAACTTCCATCATTCCTTCTACCTCCATGGCTGTATGCAATAGGAAGCTGCCATTATGCCATTCATGTTGGCTTTACATGTCAACTTGAGTCACAGCAAAATAATTCGCGCTGCACCACTGGCTGTACCAGAGAGACAATGGCTCTGTGCCAGGCAAAGGGCTGCAGTTCATCCACCCAAGTATAATGTGGACAATTCCCTGCAAACTGGTTGTCTAAACCCCACTTTGTCAATGAGTCTTCTCTTTCTAAAGTGAGCTTTTTCACTGAGTTCGTCAGAGATAACTCTTACCCTGGAAGTGCTGGTTTCTCTCTATGTACCACAGTGAAAATATAGCTGGCACCTTGGGAAAAACAGGGCTGCAGAAGTCAGTGCCATCCCCAGCCACAGTGCCCTGGGACCTGCCTTCAGTTTTCAGCAGGAGGAGGTGAAGCTCCTGATAAAGCAGAGAGTTTCCTTAGACACTTTCACAGCTCAGATGCGCTGTGAGGAAAGAGACCTTCATCGTCCTAATGAGCAAATGTGTTCAGAGTAAATGCACTCCTTGAAGAGCGTTAATGCTTTCATCACCGCTGGCTAATGAGCCTGAACTTGCACCTTGTACTAGATACTAATCAGATTCCTCTTTCTGCACTTTCTGAAGCAGCACTGTTCAGTCTGCCAGCTGGCAGTGATGCTATTTTAAAATAACTGCACATGGGTGTTCTTATTCAACATTTCTGTTAACGGAGTTGGTAAAGGTCTAGTCCCAGGCAAGACTGGGGCCCGTTTTAATATGCATTTCATTCTGTATTTCTTTTAAGGATACTATTAACTTATTCCACTTACAGAATCAAATAATAAGCTTTGTAATTGAAGAGTAACTAGTTCTTGTGGAATGTAATTTGATTTTTTTTCCTTCAAAATTTCAAATTACCTTGGTCCTGTTTCTTTTTTTTTTTTTTTGTAACCATTTGCATAATCTACAACACTTTCAGGACTTTCTTCCTTTGCATAAATCAATTTCACTTCTTGTTCACTTTATCACTTTCAAGGGGATTCTTTTCTGCTTTACTGGACTTAAATTAATCCTCTGGAGGAAGCAGTGTCATGACATGGCCAGCATCAAAATCCGCATAATGAAAGCAATTTTTTTCCATTTAAATTGACACTCAAGATATCACTGCTCATTAGCAGACTTTAGATCTTTGATTTCACTTAAAGTGAGAAAGACAATAATTCTTTCTCTAATATGAATTTCTTGCATATGAATTTATTCAGAGACCTTTACGTTTATTGCAGTGCAAGTTAGGTCACTAAATACCTTTAAAAAACAAATCTGTGTGATTTGTAGAGAATTAACATCACTAGCAAGACTGTCAAAATTGCCATGCTTGATCAGAGTGATGATCTGTCTCATTTGGTTTCTCCCTGGGATCAAAACTGATCTGAGAAGATGGCTGAATAAGGGATAGATGTGGAATCACTTCTGACGAAAGGGAAATTTCTTCCCAATTCCAGGCACTCAGCATGCTTTTGCTGGTGATGATCTCAGATGGGGCTTAATATGAAATCTGTATTGAAAATTAGAACAGTGCTCAGTATAACAGAAGGAGAGCTTCAGGAAAAAGGCTCTTAGGCTGGAAGGGGCTGAGATTAAAAACCTGTGTTGCTTATCTCTTGGGTACTAGTACACAGCTGCAGGGCAGCCACATCTGTTTCATTAGAAGTCTCCAGGGCTATTTAGCCTTCTAAGGTAGATGCCCTTACCCTTTCCTGCAGGCTGAAGGCTTCATCATTAATAATTCTGTATTTATCTTTCACAGTTTCAAAAGAAATACCTGTCTCTGGGGAGGAAGAGCACTTCTTGCCCTTGGTCCTGTAACACAGGTGTAGGATGGTGCAGCTTGAGATCTGCATGCACATGCAGCCTTGGTCAGGCCCAACAGCTGGAAACTGCCCACTGCTGGCTTTTTTCTGGGGCCTTGCTCAGGCTCCAATACGCCTGTTGTGCATGACTCAGCTAAGGCTTCCCCCTCACAATGCTACTGTTTTCATGATGCCAAGCGATCTGTGGTCCATACTGACCTTTCCCGTTCTGCCCTGTCACATTTCCTCACAGAATACATGTTTTACTGGGTTTGGTCCAATTGTGAAAAGTAACATTTCCTTTCTTTGTAAGATGAAGATTATTTTCATGACTTTGCAACTCACTGTTTCCATTTA